AGGGACTTTAAGAGCACATGCACATAAGCCATTGAAACCTACCCCTTGTGCGGGGATTCTGCCTTTAGCAGTTTATGTTTAGGTGCTTCCTCGGGCCCTAAATTGCGCTAAGCTGTGAGTTTGATTAAGTCGTGATTGTGTTATACGATTGTTCTTACATTCCTCCCGTATTGACGACTGTCACGAATCAGATGATGAGATGTTGCCTGCGCTCGAAAGAGGAGTGCAAGGGTTGTTTGCCCGGCTGCTTGACAGAAGCTCTAGCCAGTGTGGCCAAAGCCGCAAACCTTAAGCAAGGCGCATCGTGGCAGAGGCCGAGAGCAAGGCCAGCTGGTGGTGGGTTCAGGGTTAGGGTTTGGGGTTCTAGAGAGTGGGCACTCTGAAAGGCGAGGGGGGTTTCACGTCAACAGCGGAGTTGCGAGTCCCGTAAAATTTCAACTTCAGGCCCAGACACCTCCTTGTTGTTTAAAGACCGTAACTGTGCTTCTCGGATTCTGTCGTTTAGTTTCAGTAGACCAGCATGTTGACATTCCCCAGACCCCTGACCCAAGTCTCGAGACGTCATAAATCCTAAAGATCTCTCACAAGCGCAGGCCCTGCCCGAGGCAGTCCGCCTTGTGGCGTCTGGCAAGTACAAGAGTCGGAGGTGGAGCCGGTTTTTGAGTTCAGGGGTTTAGGGTCTAGGGGTTTAGGGTTTAGAGTTTAGGGTTCCGAAGCAGCATCAGCAGCACAAGAATCACCGACGCGGCTTGACCCTGGGCAATCGCGCAGCAGACCACGTCCTGCACACATCATGAGAGGCATCAACTCGAAAGGATCATGTTTGGCATCAGAAACACCCGTGTGGCCCAAAAACATCAGGTAATGTGCTCCTTACAAAGTATTTGGGTATCGATACTTCTGCGAGCCTTACACTGTGCAGGCTGTAAGCACAAAGCCCCAAAGCCTGAACCTTACATCCCTAACCTAGATCCCAGGCCTCCAAACCCCGACACTCAAGCCCAAAGCTCCCGTGGGCTGCTTGTGGCAGAGTAGGTCTTCGCCGCCGGATGCAGCGGCCACCACCTCAAAGACATGGGGCTCGCAGGGATAGGGCTCCTTGAGGCTTGGGGTTTAGGGTTTAGGGCCTGGGTTTTGAAGTTTGGATTTAGGGGTGTAGGCCTCCAGGATTTTGGAGTTTTGGATGCATGGCTTGGGGCGTCCAGGGTTCAAGATTTCGGTTTCGGGGCTCTTCGGGTTGAGTCTTTAGATGCCACAGGGCTTCGGATGCAGGTCTATCGCCAAGCAGCGGCCTTGGACAGCCCTGTGCGACAACAAAAGGGCTCATCACGACTCTTCCAATCAAAAGTGGACGAGACTCCAAGCATACCGCTTCCCACTTGCACCAGCAGGCAGCAGGCAAGCGTGCGGCAGCGTGTTATGATGTTCAGCAACCTTCAAGGACACCCTTCGACCACTAGGAAGAAGTGCTCGCACTGTGACGAAGAGTACACGGCCGCCACGCCACGGCAATTCGCACGAAGAACCCTTGCTGGCTGTTTACAGACGTGTTGGAAACTATCCAAGGTATGCATGCTAAGCCGTTATTCTGGCAGCAAGAGTGTAAGATCGGATAGGGACCCCAAAGGGCGATCGGAGGTTCAGAGACCTCGGTGTTCTACCGAGGCCATGGAGACATCGCTTCCCACACCCTCAATGCCTTCCAGCGCGAAGATGGCGGGACGCGGGCTCAGAAATTTGCATGGGGGAAGTTGTGGGGGACACAGCTTGTCACGGGGACAGACCGCGATCGAGCATCATCTGTCTCTGTCTCTGTCTCTGTCTCTGACTCTCTCTCGCAGCGCTCTCTCTCGCAGCGTGAACGTTCGAAGTCGCCTTATGTGGCCCGTTGTGGGCTTGCTAACCAGCCGCCTATGCGTGACAGCAGTAGGTGACACGTCTGTCTTAGACGTGAGGAACAAAATTCACGCAAAAACTTGCCGCGGAAATAGAGATAAGCACCCCGGCCGCAGCGCCCTCTCCAGCCAGTTGATCCTCACTACACTCACGCTCAGAAAGAGTAACTGACATCAGCACTCAAAGACATTGCGGAAAGATCGGAATTTGTACTCCGGTAGCATCCAACGCACTGTTTTGCACCATCGGTGGCGCCGTCATTATCATCGCTCGCGTCGTCGTCATGTTATCATCGTTGGCATTCTGCAAGTCACCCGACAATAGAATGCGGTTCCAAGAAAGCACGCCGCACAGACCAGGTGATGCAAAGCGCTACGAGCAGCGAGGCGTCTCCGCCGACAAGGGCGATGTCCATGCTGCCGCTATCTCGGAAGATCCAGTTTCGTCGGGTGTTTCAGGTTTCAGGATCTAGGGCATCCGGGCCTGCCCTCCCCTCCAAAAGCTCATGAAGAGCTCTTTTGGTCTTTGCTGATGTTGCTGCGGGTGCCTTGTCGCAAGTGCACAGCAATCATGCTGACACAGCCGCCTAAGAGAGCTTCATGCTTGTCAACCTGAGTTGACCCTGCAGAACCGAGGCCATCAAGAACATGGACAAGGGGCTCTTCCCTCGCGCTTTCTGCAAGGCAGCACTCTTCCCCTGTACAAAGCCTTAAGACCCACAGCCCTGCATCCCTCAAGACCATAAGCCTCAGCCCTGATCCCTCAACCCCTTAAACACCCTAAGCCCCAAGCTCGAACCCTTCGCCAAACCCTAAGACGTCCTAAACCCTTTGTACAATCCGAAGAGGTAAACCGAGTAATCCCAAACCATAAAGGTGGTTCCGGACTTCATCTCCAGGGATCCGACACAAGCGATCGCCTGGCGCTCAGCTTTGTCCCTGCGGTCGCGGCTTCCCAGAGCTTGGGGATTGAGGGTCTAGGATTTTTGTGACGAGAGCTTCCAAGTGTAGGGTTTAGAATGACGCCATCAGAACTGATGCAGCGGCAATGAGACGATGGTGGTGAAGTTGCTGACTTTAACATCCAAACAGTCTTTCTCGTTCTCGGTGTGGCCGTCATCGTCATCATCAGCAACATCATCATCGTCATCGTCATTGTCATCGTCATCATTAATGTCCTTGTGCATGGCTATTTGCGTCATCACCGTCGCCGACATTACAACCATCATTATCATCATCGTCATATCAGTTTCATCATCGCCAGCGCCGTCCTGCTGAGGCTCCTCCTCCTCCTCCTCCTCCTCCTCCTCCTCCTCCTCCTCCTCCTCTTCTAATCATCATCATCATCATGTCGCCAGGACTTCTTGCTCGCCGTCTTCATGAGTCTAACGTAAATGTTCATCCCTCTCTCCGTCATCATCATCTTCAGGAGCAGCATCGTCTTCATCCTCACCTCCATCTCGAATCACCAGTTTCGCTGTCGGAAGCCCTCTTCGAGCCAGGTGATGCACGCCGACGGCGCAGGCACTAAGTCCTCGCTGGCGTACATCTACTGGAAGAAGACGGGGGACATCTCCGCTGGATGCTTAAGCTTGGATCTCCCGCAGTCGATAGGAAGGACGAAGGTGCGTGAGCTTCTGGACTTGCCTCCTCCATCTATCGGCTGATTTCAGCGCTTCATAGCTTTGGGAGCTTTTGGGAGCCCTTCGCCTCTCAGCAAAAGTGGCATTCTGGCTGCGAAGCCTCTCTTGACCTTCTGCAGCCAGTTCATGCTTGTCTTTGCATCCTTGCAACCAGATACCTGCATCCTTGCAACCGGCATTCCCTAGGAAATCCAGATCTCAGGTTTGGAAGGGAATCGCGCAGGATGCCTTGGTCATGAACCTGGACGACCTGCTCTTCGGCCTGCAAAGACCTCCGTTTAAGGCTTCAGGCTTCGGAAGGTTCCGTCTTCCGTTCATTCATTCGGCTGAAGGCCAGGGACCTCAGCTCTCAGTCATGACTGTTGCTCCTCAACTCCTAGAGACAAGGCACAGGCCCAGAGGTTTTTAAACCTTGAATCCCCTGGCTTTCTAACAGCCATAACCCTGAACCCGACGCCCGATAGCATGAGCGTATACCCCTCAGCAGTCGGCATCCACGACTTCGAGCCCGAAGCCTCATCAGCCTCCATGGGAATTCCGAGATGCAGATCTGAAGCCGTTACATATTACCTACTTTTCGATTTGTCTACATTGGTGTATGTAATTTAGGGGGACATCGGTACACATGTTCGCAAGTAGCGGCCTGTCGCACCGTGCTCATGCTTATGTGCTGTTGACTGCTCTATGCCATGTCATTGAGTCATGCTGCCATTGTCCCATAATGATGCAGATCACACAGCCTGACAACATACCTTCTAGCAACATCTCAAGCTGACCACTGAGGTTGTGCGTCGGCATCACCGACAACATCCTCTTGTCTAGTGCCCAAACCTGCTTTAAGCATGCTTCCTGGGATACCGCGAGCTTCGTAGCTTGGAGGATATTGCAATTAATTTCAAGGCAATGCCGTGGCGATGGTGGCCAGCCGTTGTCCAGAGCACCGAAAACGAATCCGTCCATGAACCCATCTCCGTTATCTCGGATTGTCTTTGCAAGTCGTCGTATGTAATCACACGGCATTACACCACACAGCCTATTCGCCCATCTACCCAGTTATCTTGTCTATCTATCTGTCTAACTACCTAGCTGTGTATCTACCCGTCTATCTACCTATACACCAGACTTTTGGTACACAGTGTTCTTCAAAAGCGATGCTGTGCTGCTGCCTGCTGGCATGCCAATCTCTCTATGTATGTGTATATGTGTACATATATTTCGGTTTATATTTATTTTTCATCTTGGATGCGGCTGCATGTACCATTACGGATCAGTCTCCTAGATCGTTGAAAATATACATAGCCACACCATCAGAATTCACTCGAAGTGATGATATTTGGTTTTGCATGCTGGGCTGCAGGTAAGCAGGAAGGGAACGCCGTCAGCGATGGCTAGACGCTACCGCAGCGTTTGCGTGGCTCAGCCTTTTGGCGTCTTCTTAAATGGTTTCTGAAGTTCATGTAGCATGGACTATCGGCATGTGCAGCCTCCGTTCCGGCGCCTTGCTCTCGTGGTCCACTTGGTATTGTTAGGCCTTCTGCTTGCCTATGCGGGCTATGAGGTTTGCGAGATTGCGAGCGCCTCACGCGCCCCTCCTATAGAAACTGTCATGGAAGACTGGCACGGAGCTGGGAAATGGGCGCTCTGCAGCGGCAGTACACTTGACAGAGCAGGCGTGGCCCTGCCAACTGCGAAGCAGTTGATGCACTACGAGGAGATTGCAGACTCGACAGACAATCGAGGTTCAATGCTGTCACGAGAAACTATTGAGATTAACGGGCGGAATCAGAGTTGCTCAGTTGTCGATCTGTCTGAGTGGCAAATGCCTCTACCACCGCCCGTGCCGTTCCATCTTTGTGGGCAGGGCAGACGGATGAGCCTTTACCTGCACATGTTGGGCGAGTGGAGCTATCTGGGAAATACTAACGATGGCAGCAGATTAGTGATGACTTTAGACAAGCACAAGCATGGCTGGAATTACGGATATGCCACCGAAGAGGAGGATTACTTCCAGGTCGCTCGTGCAGAGGAGACCTGTTGCCATGACCGACATGCAAAGTGTGAGCATTGGTCCGAGTTTGAATCTACTGAAGGATTGGGAATTTACTGGCGGGTGGTCATTGAAACTCCTCTGGTCACAGTATCACGGAAACTGGGTGCATTACCACAGCTGTTTTCCTTGCTGGGAAATTTGGGAGGCTACTTGGCACTTCTGACTGCGACATTCACCACGATTTTCGTGAGAAAGTATCCTCATAGCGATATTGCAAACATTTACGAGGCCCGTACGCTTATCGGCCACCAGGTGCCTCACAATCCGCGCAATTCGCAAGAGATCAGCCCTGGTCCTGGCAGCGCGGCAGATGTGGACGTCACCACGCCGCCGCCACCAGACGGGGAGAGTGTGGGCGCAGTGGTGCTGTTGAATGCGACAAGCCCGCCGCCAACAAGCGGGACACCACAGGCTGGGAAGACTGAACGAAGCCAGGAAATGTTAAAACTTTAAACTCTCTTGACCGGCTCAGATGTCCAAGACATCAAGGCTTCACCGATCGAGGCGAGGAGTCATCGCTGTGTACAAGTACGAAGAGAACGAGAAGAACCGGGTGCCTGCAATCCCACACTCCAGGACTTTCGGTGGTGTCTCTACTCAACGACGGTGTTTTGTTCATGCGATCCTGGTCATTGTGTTTGTTCCTGTTGCAGGGCGCTTTTGATTATGGTGGTCTTGGGATCTGGTTCTTTGGGTTCAGGGCTTCAGGGTGGTGCCGGCACCACGTGCTTTGATTGGAGCATTCACAGTTCCCATCGCAAGCTTTTCTGAAGCCTTCCATTTAGTACTGTGGTTGAGGCTAGGCCCTGTACCCAAAAGCTACAACCTAAAGCCCGCATCCCCAATTGTCACCCAAACCTTCCAGCTTCGAAACCCCGAAGCTTGTTTTCCACCTCCGATTCTTCGAGGTACCATCGGACGAAACAAGAACCTGATTCCGCGGGAGGTGACACGAAGAGGTTTAGGGTTTAGGCTTTGTGTTTCCAGGTTTCGGGGTGAGTGTTTTGAATTTTGAGGTTGCTGGATGGGGCTGCGAAGATACGGAGCGACCCAGAGAATATCCCAGAGAGGATCACGATGCAGGGAACTGTTATAAAGACAGCTTCTGTTTGACTTTCTTGATTCCCTTGACGTACATCACGCTAGCCGCCCTCGTTGCTCCAATTAAACTATTTGCACCCAAGGTTGTGACGACCAACATTCTGACGACGGCTGTTTTGAGTGTTGCATGTCGCTAGCACGGGCAATAGCCCAAGCAATTGGGGGCTCAGAAGCTGCGGGCCCCTGACGGTGGATTTAATTGTAGGCTCGGGTGGATCAAGACGCGCCTCCAACGGCCTTTCAAGACCCAGCTGGTCTGAGATGGAAGATGTAGGAAGAACTCAGTGTCGGCGTGGTGACCTAGGCTATGCCTCGGTTGAAGGCAATAGGGTCTGCGAGATATGGGGCTTGCAAGGCCGAAACTTTGAATCCCACGTCACTCATGGCAAGTTTCGGAGCTTCATGAACAGATAGGTGGTTGTCAACATTATGGTCCCTTTTGGTTCCCTACTATAATACTACGGCACCTATTATTCAGGTTGCCCAACAAGGGACCTTAATTTTGACAACTACCCAGTGGAACCCGGCTCCTCGAAGCGTAAACTCTCGGAAGAGAGCAGGTGGTTGCCGCAGTCATCGGCGGCACGGCTGCCCTAGTGGACGAACTGAACAGACATGGCGTGGGGGATCTCAGACAAGGTGCTGGATTGTCGAGCTGAATTAGTACAGTAGCAGAAGCATGGGCATAGGATTAGGAAGAACGCGTGGGTCCTACTGCATGTTCCTGAGAAGAAATACGCATCGGAAACTCTCTTGAATCTGGCTGAGATTCGAGGTTTTGGGTTCGGGATATGTGGACATGGCTTGGTTTGATAATGCCTGGTGAAGGGTTAAACAATTATGATGCAAGAGCTTTGGTATTGGGCACAATGCTTCCAAGATGTGTGTGCATCATTGCTCGACAGGCCTGCGGCGCTGCCAGCAGAATTAGCTGTTTGTTTTTCGCAGGTTTTCTCGTCTCAGTTTTCCCATGCGACTGAAGATCCGTAATACGTCAGCATGTCAATGCGCTATGCACCGCTCTCTGCAAGTTAAGACCGCGTGCTGCATGTCCTCGCAAGAAGCTATTATCTATGCTGGTGTGTCCTCAGATCATGACATGTGACGGCTTCCGTTTTCGTTCGTGCCCCGCTTCTCTTCCAATTTGTGCGGACGGCATGCTGCAGTCTGCTCGAGACTCTGTGCATGTCCATCAGGAATCACATATGTGGTGGTTTCCGAAAATAGGGGACCCTCATATATAGCACCCTAAATAGTAGGATCCTTACTGTAAGGACCCCAAATGAGGTACCCCTGATTTTTGGAAACTCCCTTATGCTGCCCCAAAGTTTGGGCCCGGAGTCCGAAAACCAGACATCCAAGCCCGAAATCGGATCATCAATCCCAAAGCCCCTGGGTCGGGCCAGAATGTGCAACTCTTCAGCCCTGACCCCCAAGCCCGAACCCTGAACCCAAGGCTTTGACCCTTGATTTTTCCAGGTCGGCATCATCCTCACGGGAGGAGAGACGGCCGATGTTGGCGATCTTGTGGCCCGGCTTGAAGGGTTCGGAGCTTCAGGGGTTCAGGGTCCAAAGGGGGGAATCAATACCCAAAGCCCGAATCCCCAAAGTCCTAAAACTCAAAGCCCTAAGCCGCAAAGCCCGTCACCCCGGTGACCGTCAAACACGACGAAACTGAACCCTAAACCCGAGACCCTGAAACCCCTAAACTGAACCCTAAACCCTAGAGCTGGGTCCGGCTCAGGTGAGGACCATCATCGTGGACTCCACCGTAGCTGCTCAGGCTGGGTTGGCGGAGAATCAGAGGGCTTTAGGGTTGAGGGTGCAGGGTTGCCTTTGCTCAGGGGTTTTCGGGCTCATCGTTTTTTTGGGGGCCTGGCAGGGCTTATAGTCTTATCGGGCTCATAGGGTTTGGGTTTTGTCCCAGTTTTGCAGGCGAATATCTTGGACCCAGCCTAAACCCACAACTCAGCATCCTACTTGCCATTTCCATGTGGGGCCTTTGATCTCCTTGCATTTCATTTCCCCGTTGACCCTTTTTGTTGCTGTGTCTTGTAGTCGGTCGGACTCCAAGTGACGTGCCATCCTTCATGGCTGACCTGTAGGGCTTCCTGATGGAGCAACGATGAAGACAAGGTCTATGCTCTTTCCTTGCGGAGCCACAGGCTACCAGAACAAGCAACCATCTTCGCAAAACCATTCGTCATCGTCATAAGCTTCCTGCCCGACATCATCACCAACACCCTCCTCGGAAAGCTCGGGAAGCCATGATGCGCAGTCATGTGTAGCTTCAGAGCTACTGCGCCTTGGCCTGTTTGCGGCTGCTGGGGGACTTAGGCTCATGAGGCTCCGGCCTGCTGCAAGGTTCCCCGGAGCGAGGTCATTGACAACGCCAACATTCGCTCGGAGCCCAGCGAGCTCGGGATTTGTGAATGGATGAGGGAAAGTAAGCAAACAAGAATGCAACAATGCAACAAACACCATCAGCCTAAAGGATGCAAGAAAGCAGATACAACTAAACAAGCAAGCAAACGAACAGAGAAGCAAGGCCATGCACAAGTCAACACATGCGCTCAAGATTTATAGCTTGAGAAGTGTATATATACATGTGTCTGTATATGTATGCATGTAGGTCTGTGCAGTTTATGTACATGTGTACAGCCATGTCTAGCTTTATAACATGGAACAGCTGGAGTTCACAACAGGCATAAATCCTGAAAGCCGCAAGCAGACAGCCTCAATCTGCAAGCTCCAGACACCAGGCTTGCTCCTTCCTTTTCCTTGAATACTCGAATGTTGAATATTGCGATTGCGCTTCAATGTATGATCCATGGTCGCCTTTACTCTGGTAAGCTGCAAGACTCTTATGGAAGCCCAAGGTAGCCACATAAGACACTTGTAGAACTTCTACAAAGCTTCTGCAAGACAGGTGCTGGTGACGTGATCGTGGCGTTGTCTTCCTCGGGACGTGTGATGCCCAGAGCCACAACGAGAGTCCGGTTGAGAATAACCGAAGGCTTCAGCATGCGGGCTCCGTTCAGTTTAGTTTAGGGTTGGTGTCGTAGGAGCATCGGGGGTTTAGGTGTTCATTATGGGCTCGGGTTAGAGAGCTTAAGGTCAAGGGCTTCGGAAGGTTAGGTGTTCACACAAGAGCTTGGTTCAGAAAAAGCACTTGCATTTTTCGCTAGTAGAGCTTGATTGTGTTTCTGTGTGTTGACTGATCGGCAGCAATCGAAGCAGATAGCCCACATATGTTTAACTTGCAGAGGTCCGTGCGACTGCTGCGCAGCAAAACCTTAAAGTTGTCAGCCAGATCCTCTTTTCACTAGTATCTCTGATCATCATATTCTCAATATATGACACGGCAACTAAGGGACAAACTTATAAACCCCTCCGCTCGAGACCGACTTTGTCGACCTAGGAGCTACTTACGAGGACTGCTACAACAGCGGTATCGGAAGCCACGGCCCCAGCGCAGAAATCGCGAAACAAACAGAGCTTACGGCAAGATTTTACGGATCCAGGGCGCGAGATGGGGGACGAACCCCTTTCAGTTCAGGGTTCGGGGCGTTGTCCGACAATCTACTGTAGCGGGCTTCAATAGTAGTCCATGCTCTTCTTGAGGGTTCGTTTATTAAGCTACCCCACAACCCTTTTCTGTGCATTAAGGCCCGTACCGTGTTGAGGGTTTAGGGCCGTGGAGTTCCTACAGCTCGGACGCAGGAGGGATGCGTTGACAGCTGAATGTGCATTTTTGTTCTATGGTCCGTCCAACAGCTTGCGCTGAAGAGGATGTCGTCGGCATGAGCGACCGTCCATTCGTTCTGATGTTCTGCTGAGAAAGTCTAGCAGGATCAGGCGTTTAAGGCTTAGGGCTGAGGAATACTGGTATTTCAGGGTAGGGTCCTTAGCTCAAAGCTGCCAAAATCATGCGCGACAGCCAGGCAACGGACTGACGGCAGCCCGGCACGACACTTTCAAGCAGCCTGGATGAACACGATTTCTGGTTCAGAGTTCAGGGTTTGAGGGTTTGCAGTTCAGGGTTCCGGGTCTTGTCCCCTTAGGGGAAAGATGCTAGTTTGGGAGTTGTAGCCGGCCAGGCTCTGAGGGTTTGGCATGAGGGCTCTAAATCGCTCACGTATGTGTCTAAAGGCTGAGGCTTCAGATGTAGACTATAGGGCCCTTTGGTATCCCAGCCAGGCCAGCCAAGTTGGGTGTGCATCTCCTTTCTTTGGATGTAACGACGGGTCGAGAAAGCTGCAAGCATCATGCATCGAGGAGACACCATTCAATCAACGTCCACTCTCGCATGCCTGCAACTTGAAAACTCGTCTTAAGCAGTGTTGCCTTGG